AGGGCTCGTCTGATAATGAAACCAAGGAAGAAACGATGAAAGACAAAAAAGATCCGTTCGCCGCAGCAAAGAGGGCTAAAATTCATGGAGAAACACATGAGCCTCCCCCATCCCTGACACTCCATCCCTCATCACAAGCATGCTGTCAGTAGTAATGTGTTGGGCAGTACGCGGCAAAGATTGTTTCACCTGACGTAAGGCCAAAGGCAAAGAGGTTTTCTTCACTTTACAACTAAGAGTCCACCGACTGCAGAAAGGAACGCAGCAGAAAGAGTGATATGACTATCCCCAGGTGATGCACTCAGTGACGAGGCGGTTATCGATAAGGTCAACCGTCAGTTCTTTGCAGGGTCTTTGGGTAATTTGAAACCTGGCTATGGTTGAGTTTAAAACCTGGGAGGAAGCTAACATGATCTTTTTAATTCACGTACATTTGTCGTCTTTGTACCTCAGTTCTTAGAGCATTAGGGTGTGGAACACTAGCTAATTTATGGTAAAAATAGGCGGTCGCGCCCTAGACACCGCACTTTGTCACTCATTTGTGGAGCAGAATTGTCAATTGGCAATGATGGTGTGGCTGAAACTGGGCGGCCATGTTGTAGCATTGAGTGGCGGGTCAACCGATTTCAGCTAAAAGTTGTCCGCAAACCGAATTTCTGTTGTTTTTTTTGGGGGGGGGGATGCAATCAGGACCCGTGCAGGTAGCCGTGTTTTCTAAAGACTCTGATCCCAAACCCATTACAACAAAGCCACTTGCTCAACGCCACCTCAAAACTTTTGAACATCTTTAGAAAAATGTGAAAATTAACTATCTCATCTGCCTGTCCTACGCGTATGAATCGTCGTTGCATGGTGACATTGAGTTACAAAAACACAGCACTACTGCCTAGGCGGCCCACTGATGCAGGCCGGCGGCCGCGAGTGAAAGGAAGGGGCGCCGCCGTCCGCGGGCCCGGCGAGCGCTCAATAAAACTGACCGGGTGCCAACAAACGTACGCGCCGCTCGGTACAATAAACCTGCGTTGGCTGGCCGACATCAGTCTCGTGAGTGGACAGCCGGTGTCGGCCGCGTGACACAGTTTTTCTAGCGCCTCACGCGTCGCCGGAGCGCCGCACTGATCAGGTGAGACGGTAAAACATCACGTTATCATAACACGTGGCTAGATCGCCATAATGAAGTACACAGCCTTAATGCTATTGATATAGCTGTTCATTAATGCAAGGTGCATGTAGCACAAATTCACGCTCACAAATTCATATATGTATATGTATATGTGTATATATATATATATATATATATATATATATATATATATATATATATATATATATATATATATGTAATTGTCGTATATATATATATATATATATGTAATTGTCGTATATATATATATATATATAAATATAATTTCATATATACATATACGTATACACATATATATAGATATATAGATATATATATATATATACATTTCATATATACATATACGTATATACATATATATATATATATATATATATATATATATATATATATATATATATATATATATATATATATATATACATATATATATACATATTTCGTAAGAGCCTGCTTCATTTTTCGGCGGATTTTTCAGCGACATCATTTAGCAAAGGGACCTAAAATGTCGTGTAAGTATGATCGCGAAATTGGATGCACAACAAGCAGCGTCTTCTATGGCCTTCATTGTAATGTGTGCGAATGTGTATGTTATATCAGCTCTATGCTTTTGGAGGTTCCGCATGTTCACCGACGTAGGGGTCCTATTTTCGAGAGGAGAATGCGGGAAAAAGGAGAAAAAATTGACAAGAGCATAATGTAGATATGGCAAGCGTGTTGCCGTTAGCGCCAATATCCTTTCCATCTATCATAATCAAAACATATACCAGTTGAAGGATGCTTATTTCATCACCTTTTCAACACAAGCTTCTCACAATATTCGCCAACTGTGTAAAAACTCTAATGTGGTCAGGAAGGCTGCTAAGGCTACTAGGAATTGTCATGCCAGATGGTTGTGAATGGATGGTATGACACTCATGTTATTGTCTGCTGCTTCATCAATCATAAGAGTGAATTGAGCACGTTTGGTGTTCTAGCGTTTGGTGTCCTACTATACGCTCCTCTTCGCATCCAGCCTCGCACGAAACGAATGCTATCGAGCAAGACATTTTCTTCCTGTGGGAACTGAACTGTCCCTCCATCAGCCAGCCTATGCCAGATGAGTTTGCGCGACATCTGGACCAGTAATCTAAAAGGGCTTTGGAAAATACGACTTAACGGATGCTCTGACCCATACAGAGGGAGTTAACTCACTTAACTCTGTATTATGTGTTCAGTGAGCTCAGATGTTCAGATGAGTTACCGACCTTCATTTACCAGGAGGTACTGGTTATTTGTTTAGCAAGTACCTCCTCCTATGCTGAAGATCGATAACTCGCCATGAGAACCCAACACACATTATACTAAAAAACCGGAAACTGAAGGCCTTTGTTGCTGTCATCAAGTGACCTGCTATCCGCAACGAAGCCTGGGCGAGTGCATCTTTGGGAGAATGAAGTCACTGAACTATTTCATTCTTGCCACAAAAAGTGGCGCCACTCACCTTAAGTGGTGCACTAACTGACTTGTAGCATTTCATCAACCAAGAGCTCGGCGTACAGCAGCTTAATCCACGGTCCAGTTCAGCAAGTTCAGTTCTGTGCGTTTATTGTTTGAAATCGTGTCATGCTGACCAGCGAATGAATAGCCGATCTTGCCAGCCGGGGCCATGTACGTCTGCCCGTAGGCGGACGTACGGGGGCCGGCCACGGGGCCTTGTGATATGCCACAGTGGGAGGGTACGGTGGCTCTAAGCCAGACGTCCGTTCTCAGTCAGGAACGCTCCCAGACAGATCTGGGGCGGTGGGCACGACGCGCACATTGACTGCCAAGCAGCAAATCATCGCCGAAAACGAATGCCATCAAATGCCAGCATCGATGAGCGTTCTACACTCCTGCCCTAGACACCCGTCCTGTTCTGAGTGTGCCACTATGTTCAGTCACGCGTGTGCCGCTCTGTCCAGTGACGTTATGACGTCACGCGTGTGCCCTGGAATGCTGGGCGGCTCGTGTGTAATCCCCCCATCGGAACGAGCTGGCCCCCCAGCCCATTCGTTCCGCGATGGTTTATATATATATATATATATATATATATATATATATATATATATATATATATATATATATATGACATGTATCACACTTTTAGCCGTCGGCAGCTATCTGTAAGATGCGAATCGGTTGCAATCTACCATGTGAAAATGACGTTTTTGTCAATTGGACGTTGACAATCATACCCACTCAGCAAATGCAATACGGTGGATCGGAAACGGTCCGTCTGGTAACTGCGCGCGGCATATCTTATTTGAATGTGGGCAATACAATCCGCTGCGGCCATGCTCCTAGTGCACATCATGGCAGAACAGTACAGATACCGCCAGTGCAATCTGATGCCCAAATATGACCCAAACCATCACTCGGCACGCCTGATTCGTCTGGCCGACTTCTGTGGCGATGACATCGGTCCCAGAGCTCATGCCTCCGTTCAACTCCGGGTACATCCGTTCGCTCCGTGCGCGAGGCACGCGCCAAACACAAAAGGTCGGGCCGCCTCTGTGCTTGCGAGCGCGTGAGTGAGCCCCAAGGCAGCTTTAAGTCGCCACCTATCTGTGTGTCGCTCAGCTTCAGAGGACATCGAATTTGAACGTTGTCACTGAAGCCAGACGGTCAATTCTGTTTATCATGATATACATCACATATAAGTAGTTGCACTGGCTGCAAAGACTGGTATGCATCACTTCAAGTGTTAATGAATTGAATAAGAAAATAAATACAACACGAACCTGACGTGTTTGCAGCCAAGGTTAATATGTGTGACACTGATCTGCACAATTTTGGGATGAACACTGACTCAGGTGTCTTGCCCGCATGCCTGCATCACTCAACAATGTACCTACAGGTACTTTACAAAAGCATGTAAGCATGTCAAAGTTTGTGAGTGCACAGCAATATGGTAAAGGAAAGGTTGTTCATTTACTCAATACTTCAAACACGGATATGACATGCCTGACTTTTTTAATTTCGTGAGACACGTTTTAAGATAGAACTGTGTCTTTATTAAGATAACTTTTTTAATCGGGTGTGCAATCGGTTGCACTAAACCTAACTTGGTGTGAATTTATATTTTAATCACACATTTACGTTTTCACGTACAACTCATTACAAATTCATGACTAGATCTTGAGGAGCATCCAAATTTGGCTTATCTTTCACATTGGTAAGAACGAAAAAACCTGGACAACCAACTACGCCGAAGATTTTTTTGAAGATTTTCAGGCCATATCAAGGAGAAATTCATCATCTAGGTACACTTGAGACAAAATTAACAGCTGAACTCCGAAATTCCCAACCTTACTATACTTGCAATCGTATTCACGTGTCTTACACAAGCTGTGACAGCATTTTGAGTGCATTAGGTCAACACTGGTCGTGGCTTTCACTGCCCTGAAATACATTCATGCCACGCAATACGTTCAGTTTTCCTCTACACGGAGAGAGAGGCGGCTCGGGGAACTCGGCACAGCTCAGTTCGAAGCAGTGCGCCCACACTAACTGCGCAACGTCTCAGCTTGACCTGTGACGCCACTATCACATTCAGAACGTACTTGCCAGGCCTATCTCTCACTGCTTCTTTCACTCAGAGACGCAAAGAACTCAGTATCACTAGAAGCATTATCCAAACAAACTTGCCGAATCTCCAAATCTAACCACCGTCGCCGCCACCAACCATCGACTGGCCGCCATGTTGAAAGTAGTTCCCTCCGTTTAAGCTCCGCCCCCTGCGATGTGCTTGCGCGTCGCCCCGGCGCTGGCCCGGCCCACGGCGGGTGAATTCGAACAGGGCCGCGGTGCCGCGAGGCATCGGACGCCGCGACTCTCAGATGGAGCGCTGGCGCGAGGAGAGGGGCCCGTCTGTGGGACACTGTGGCGGTGAACCGCCCTGACCACATGTCAGGCAAGAAAATAACTAGCCAGAACGTGCCACCACCGGACACTGGTCCAACTCAGAATACCGCTGCGAGGGACCTGTGCGCTTTTGTTGGTTGGGTGGCCTCACCTGTGAGACGCAGTAGGAGCAGGTCTACTTGGCCACTGAGCTGGGGTGAGGCGGGGCTGGCGCGGCGCCGCTGGGCATCGCGGCGCTGCTGGGCGGCTGGGCCAACGCTGGGTCGGCGCCGCCCAGCAGCGGCTGCTGCGTCGGCTTCTCGTCGGAGTTTGCTACCCCCGCAGCCAACTTGGACGCCTGCGACTGCTTCTCTTGCTCGTTCAGTTCCTTGATAGCCTGGATCTCCTTCTTGAGCTTCATGCGTCGGTTCTGGAACCAGATCTTGATCTGTCGCTCCGTTAGACAGAGCTGGTGCGCCATCTCTATCCGGCGCCGGCGAGTCAGGTAGTGATTCGTGTGAAACTCTTTCTCCAGCTCCAGTGTCTGGTACCGGGTGTACGTCTGCCGGCCCCGTCGCCGCAGGCCGTGCGGACCATGACCTGAGGGCACGCGGGGAGAGACGCTCAGACACAGTGTCGTTATCAAGGGCGTGCAAATGTCACGCAAGGCACTGCAAGGGCATGGGCACTGGGCGGAGACGAGTAGCTTGGGTGTTAATAAGTCCACGATTAAATTCAAAATTTCCGATAAGACCAAGCGCACTTTGATTGCAAATTAGCTGTGATGAGATAATGAAATACACAAGCCAACCGCATAAGAAGTGCATATCATTCTCAATTATCAATAAAGCAAGGTTATCGAATCCCAGCATCTGCACCAAAACCAACTCGTCGACTAGTCCTGGTGAATACCCTGATGATCACTGTCCACACTTCGAGTACACATTTTCTCCGCTAGGTGAAAGGAGCCCACCGACGTTCGCGTTACGTCGTCAGCACCCCGGCATGCTATCCCGAACACTTGGATAGGTCATAAAGGGTAGAATAGGGGTAATTCGAGGCATAAAAGTCAACTGAGGTAGCACAGGCCGTGAAACAGAGCAAGATACGCGGGTGGGCCGGCCGCCAGGGGCGAGTGCAGAAGTTGTCGAACAGGACTGGTGTTGATCAGGACCGGGCATTACTGGCTGCCGCGTGAGGCAGCGGGGCAGGGCGACCAGGGCCAGGAGAGGAAAGCGCGCTTAAAGGCAATTCCTTACTTTGCAGCCAGGCGGGGTAATTGGCGCGCTCCGAGGCTGAAAACAAAAGGAGAAAACTTAGCTGACTGAACACGCACAGATCCATGAAAGAATGCGAATCGTGACCACGTACGTTGCTGCAGGCAACACAAATTACAATCGCTTTGATAGCGTCATTTTTCATACGTCACACAACGTATTAAAACGCGTTCAAATGAGCCATTGCCTCGCCTGCACAGTTTCTCCACTCCCATCGAGAGGAAGGTAACAGGCAGCTCCCCCACTCCCATCGAGAGAAAGGTAACAGGCAGCTCCCCCACTCCCATCGAGAGGAAGGTAACAGGCAGTGCCAGGTTGCACAGATTGGTAGCTCGGTGGAAAACAACAAGACCCTCTGGTGAGGTAGCGGGACGGCATGGGATCAGCGGGGCATGTGGAGTACCACTGGTCGGGGGAAGGACGAAGGTACACAAGTCGGGGGATGGGGTACAAGGATACACCGGTCTCGGCACGGCACTTGACGGCATCGGACGGCATCGGATGGCATCGAATGGCAGCAGCATCAGCAGGAAAGTCGGCGCGAAAAACTTACCAAACGGCTTACCGTAGTTCTCAACAACGCTAAACAATTCAAGAACGCTCAGTAACTTTGAAGAACGAGACAGCCCGCACGGACCGGGCTTGAGAACTCTCAGTAATTTTGATGGAAGAGAGCCTGCACCAACAGTGCCTGAGAGCGCTCAGTCATTCCGACCAGAGAGACAGCTCGCACGAACCAGGGCCTAAGAACTCTCAGTAAATATAACGGGAGAGATAGCTTGCACGAACAGGGCCTGTGAGCGCTCAGTCATCCTGACCAGAGAGACAGCCCGCTCGAACAGGGCCTGAGAGCGCTCAGTCATTCTGACCAGAGAGACAGCCCGCTCAAACAGGGCCTGAGAGCGCTCAGTCATCCTGACCAGAGAGACAGCCCACTCGAACAGGGCCTGAGAGCCGCTCGAATAGGGCCTGGGAGCGCTCAGTCATCCTGACCAGACAGACAGCCCCCACCCCCACCCCGCACACAGTGTGCAGTGTACCGAAGCCACACGGAAGACCGTGGAGTCGCTGGCCGGACCTGCTGAGCCCATGAGTCGACATGTCAGAATTATAAAGGAACGTTTGATAAAGAAGTGTTCCGATAAAGGAACCTTTTTAACCAATTCAGCCTCCATGAGGGTTAAAGACGGGCGGACTGACAGGCATGACCAGTGGTGTAGCCAATGAAGTGGGGTTTATGTGGTCGTGTCACATCCCCTCCCCCTTGTAGAAGGCGGTGCCCAATGACAGCGAAGGCCCCAGTGCATTTTGGCATACCAACCGTCTCTACCGTTGCTCTGGTAGGTTTTCCGCCCATCTCTCCCAATGTGGTGTGAAATTGCCGCCAATTTTTCACCATTCCCTGGAGCATTCACTGCACGTGTTTCTTTAAACCAAAAACGTATCTGTCATTTCTGACTTCCGAGTAGAGATGTTTTGCTTACGACCCTGCACGGAGATCTGCGGTCGGTGCGGCCGGCGGGTGGCAGCCGAAGGGTCTGCCGATCGCCGGCGGTGCCAAAGACACGGTGGTATTTACGGTCACTCACGTCCCCAATGTTTGCTCAAATCACACAAGCCTACATGCCTGCGTACTCAAAATTAAACTAAACATGCACATAACATGCATAAATCATATGTTAAAGCGATGCATGACTTTTATAAGTTGGTGCGCCAAGCTGAAATATCCCAGGATGTGGGAAAAATTCACCTTTGTTGTGGCTAGTGGGGCCAATTCTTGACGAAGCAACACAACACTTATAACTCATCCCAAGATCTCGCTGAGACCAAACCACTGGCTTTTCCCGCCAGTCTATATTACTTTTGGTTTGGAAATCGCAGGGGTGTCCCCGATTCCCCCTCCCCCTCATCTCCCCCGCCTCCAATCCATTCGTCTTGTGAAAAACGGCGAATAAGGGCGCGATTGCCGTAGAAAGTTTGAAACATCAACATACGGCGCTTCAAGCATCAAAACGGCATTACAAGCTTAGGATGGTCCGCAGATTAAAAAACAGGGCCTATATGCGACGAAGTGGCGCCCTTTGTTATGCTTCAGCCCCGTTCTGGGTGGCATCTGGGCTATGCCACTTCCTAGACCTAGACGAATAATTATCATGATCCTGCTCCTTTTGTACCAAATAGCATTCTGTAGGTTCCCAAAGGTGTTATTTTGCCAGCTTTTTCATGTGTTAGGCCAATCTGCAAACTGTTAACAGATTTTCACACGATGACACCTTGGATTGGGATGAAAAGCATTTGACTGCAATATGTAGCAGCTTTTAAAAGTACAGGATGGTCCAGATAAAAGTTAGCCGATGTTTCTCTCAACAGTGGCAAGAATATTCTTCACACGGTCGTGACTCTGGTGGTGTTCAAATACTAATGGGATGGCAAAACATGATCAGCGGCAGCAGTAGTCATCAGTCGCTCCACACCAATAAAATTGTGACTACTTAAGGTACTAGATTTATCAATCAAGACAGGAATAGTCTTGCTTGTCTTTTTAGGCATATCACAGTAGTGTACCCAAAACTTTTCTGCAGGTTCTCAACTGCATGTCAGGCACGTCATTCTGCATAAAACAGTCTTTTTCACCTCGGGTCAACTTCGACGAATGATGGAGGGCGCCTGTTCTCATCGCTCCCAAGGGCTCGAAATACCGTGATGTTTCTTTTCTTTGAACTAACCCATTTTGAGTATTGCAAAAATGCATAATCACGTTACCTGGAGATGGGAAGTCATTCCAAAGCAGGACAAGTAAAACTTGAATCAAATACGAAAAAGACATCAGCAATGCAAGTTAAGGTGGCAGAGAACTTGGGAAAAAATCAGGTTTCGGAGTCGGTTGCTCAACCGCATGGACCCAGCCCCGCCCGCCGCCGCCAGTTTCAAAAGTGTCACACCTGCTGATGCTACTTTCTATGTTATCTTTAGCAGTAATGAAGGTCTGGTTTCCACTGGTGATCTCGATGGTCTTCTGCACTTTATTCAGGACCAACAAACCAGTGGCTAGGCCTAAGGTCTGATGGCTGATGCCAGTGCCATATACGTTGGAGACCTCATTGCCAAACATATCCAGGATGTCTTTGTGTATGGCTGCTGAATGCAGAAATGACCTAAGACCTTACTACTTGTCAGTATGAATCACACTGAAAAGCCCTGATCCCCTGAGATGACTGGAGAAATTGACGTGCCAGCTTGACATAGCACGTATGTGTTAGTCCCAGAGAAATGTATACAAATAATCATTAAAATGTTGTGGTGGCCAGTGGGAGCTGCCAGTCCTGCGGGGGCTGCAGTCGTGCATCATGCTTACCGCGCTTTGGACTTCCTTTATGAACTGCAATGTCGCGTCATGATGCAGACGTTTTACATCTCAGTATAGCAAAAGCGTGGTCGTCACAGCAAAATCGCCACACAATTGTGATCTTCGCATTAAAAATCAGCGCAAGATGTGGTTGGTGGGCCATGCCCAGCAGTGGCTCACCACTGTTTTCTGACTTCTGGAGCAGCTAGACCGTCAGGGAAATCGGCCCTGCAGCCTGACTCTGGACCAGTGCTCTGCCATATGAACATGACGTCACCAGTGCCACTCCACTGAACCGCCACTCACAGCCTGCCATACCGCTCACGGCCTGCTATACCGCTCACGGCTTGCCATACCGCTCACACCCTGCCATACCGCTCACAGCCTGCTATATTGCTTACAGCCTGCCATACCGCTCACAGCCTGCCATACCGCTCACACCCTGCCATACCGCTCACAGCCTGCCATACCGCTCACACCCTGTCATACCGCTCACACCCTGCCATACCGCTTACAGTCTGCCATACCGCTCACAGCCTGCTATATTGCTTACAGCCTGCCATACCGCTCACGGCCTGCTATATTGCTTACAGCCTGCCATACCGCTCACAGCCTGCCATACCGCTCACGGCTTGCCATACCGCTCACAGCCTGCCATACCGCTTACAGTCTGCCATACCGCTCACACTCCGTCATACCGCTCACAGCCTGCCATACCGCTCAAGGCCTGCTACACCGCTCACGGCCTGCTATACCGCTCACAGCCTCTCTCGTCTCTGAAGCAAGCGCGCTGCAGCCATGAATTGGGAATGCTGTATGGTAGATGGGGCAGCAGTCACACAAGTCATGTTTGAAATCGCCATTATTTTGCGACTTTCCGACTAAATGACAACCGTTTTGATAGTTTTACCGTGCCAACTTTCCCGGAATTTCCCAAGCTTGACTGCAGCTTCCAACTGGACAGATATCAACCCCCAGCACCCACAAAACATTACTATATCACTTTACACACAACAAAGGAAAGCAGCGCCATATGAACGAAGGAAGTTGGCGCCCGCTGGCTGGCTGCCAGCTCTGGTTTTCATTTGCTGACGTCACATCGTTCAGCGGTCGCTTCACCGGATCATAATGCTTTTGCGACTTAAAAAGTTTTAAGTTGTTATTAGGAACTATAAGCAAACAAGTGTTACATGACAGTTGAGGATATTTTGTTTCATATTCGGCACAAAATTAGAAGAGGAAACCAGAGATAACCCGCCTTTTCATATGCTGATCCTGGCGCATGTAATTAGCCCAACAAGCCCAACCGAGCTCTCGCAATATGTGAAGGGTACGTATTTCCCCGTGCAGTCTGGCATAACAGGCAACAAGTCTGCTGTTACCCGCGCTTTTTGTTTAGTCTTAGTTGTCCAATGCTGAACACCCACCACGACCAGGCTCCCCGGAAAGATCTTCGGCCATTTTTTATTGGTTTGCCTTCGAACCAATCGGTTTGCACAACATTGCGTGTATTTGATCGCTGTGTTAAGAGGATTAAATATCATCATCGTCAGCACTCGGCTTCTTAGGTCTCTTCGCGCCTATATCTCTATCGCTGTACCGTCGTCAGAGGATTGCGTGACGATGTACACCGCATGTCAGCTAGTTTCGTTCTCTGCTTTAATAAAAATGT